CAACTGCAAATTTTCTTTTGGAATGGTATAAAACACAAAAAGGCACTTTAAAAAAATTATCAAAATTGTTTTAAAAAATATATACTGTTTATAGTTTGTGAAGCATTTAAATCTTATTTTCAATGTCGTTTCTCATTTTTAGCCATAAACTTTTCTCTTTGAATTAAATGAAATACATTAAAACCCTTTTTAATTAAAAAAAATTGCTAAAATTAAAAAAAACATATATATATATAGAGCTTGTAATTAATTGTACTAACAATTGGCAAAAATAAATAGTTTCGAATTTGTAAAAATTCTCATTTAATTTCTGGAATATAATACATAATCAGTAAATAACATCATTAAATAGAAATGACTAAAAATTGAAAAACACAGATACAACGAACAATCTATGCATTTTTTTAAAAAGAAAAATGAAATTAGTGTGTGTGTGTGTATACTCTCTTTTTAATAAAGAAACTTAGTTTATAACAACTTATTGGTGGGAGATGAAATTCTTAACTTATTCTTACATGATGTTCCATTATTGCAGTCTACAGCAAAAAGAAAATGTTTCGCTATGATAAGCATCTAATTTTCTGCCTGAATGCGTATTGGACTTACAGCAGAAGTAACAGATGATTTTGTCTCCTAATATTTTAAAGTTTGGATTAATTATTCTTTATCGTTCGTTTTTATGTTAAGCTCTTGGAAAGTAGAAAAAAAGGAAAATGTTTAATTTTGCTATCATGATAAAGAAAAGGATATTTCTTCGTTTTTATAACGAATGTAGCTTAATAAATAGAGAAAAATAAATTTTGCGCAATTTATATATTTTCATGCCTAATTCGCCGTTATAAAAATTACTAAAATTGGATTTATTAATTTATCAGCAATAATTTTTTTTAAACTAGAAAGCTCCGCAGCCTGTTTGAGGCGCACTCCTACCTCCATAATTGTATTTTTTATTCATCATTTTTTTATTAAAAAAAAAAAAGCACAGTATCAGCATAACATATTTTTCTTTTATGTTAATTGTAACGAAAATGAATGATTACTTAAGTTTGAAAAATAATCAACTAAACTTGGAAAAAAAGCTTAACTTTAAAAAACAGAATGTGCGATATAATAAAAAGGAATAAAGAGGTGCAAGTTTACTAATTAACTATATGCAACGATAGTGTTAAGTCATTATATTAATTGAAATAGGACGTGATTTTATATCTCTTGAACTCTTGAATTCAGTTTTTATACTCTCAAAAATGTTAATACAAATGTCAAGATGATATATTTGAAAACATCTAATCTCTCTCACTCTTTTTTTTTCATTGTTACTTTCAAAGTCAAGCTAAGCGAGAGCATATAAAATAAAGATCTCGAGAAAGATAAATAAAATTTTCTCTAGCAATGGAGGAATGGTCAGTATTCAAACATTGATATCGTGTGATATTTTTTACTACAAGTTTAACAATTAATCATTCTATGAACTAATTGTTGAGGATTGCATTTTTCTTATTTCGTTGTACATCCTGCACATTTTTCTGCACATTTTCATAACTTCAATTTTAAAGTCTTATTGCGTTTGTGCAGCAAAAAGAAATGAAATTTATATAACACCGAGAACGGAGGCAATAGCTATTACGTGTTTTTAATATGGCGAGATAACACGATTCGGCCGTAGGTAAAAATTTTTTTAGCAAAATGTTTCATGCTTGTTCATCAAATAAAAGCATTCAATTAAGTTTGTTAAAAAATTTCAAATAGTAGTGTTCAAATATTATTTGTTTTTATCTTAGTGTTCTCAAGATTATTCTAATTATGTGATAGTAAAAATCTAATAATTCTGAATAGCAATGTTCATTATAAAACGCGATGCTACAAAATATGACATATTCTGACTAGCTCAAATCTCAACTGGACCTCTGTATCTAATAACAATTTAAGTTTTAAATCTTTTTGGAACATCAGTAGCTCACCAAGAAAGACGCTGACGTTTCTATTAATGATTTAGCAGTTTCTGAAGAAAAAGGAATGATAGAAATGGAACAAAGCATTAAGACCGAGGAAAGATCCCTGAATTCGAAAACAAGATTTTGTGGTAGTGAAATTTCGGGAAAAAAATCTATGAAGCATTGCCTGATAAAAACTTTAAACATTTGTTCATTTGCGCATATATCTTTTAACCAAAGACAAAGTTTAAATGTTTTCCTCAAAAAAAGGATGAATCCAGCATTTTTTATAACCGTTGTTTTCTGGACCAGCAACTGGCTACCAGATTCATAAAAAATGGATGCCACTTTTGCACTTTTGGTAGCCATTTTTAGATAAGTTAAGGCAGAGCACCAGGGTTCTTGATTTTATGTATTCTTTTGGAAGAAATGGATTTATTTTATTTAAATAAGTTTTTTTCTAAATTTAAATAGTCAAATATGAATTTAATGATTTTTTAAAAATTTATTAAGTTTAGCATACGGGTGAATTATTATTTCTTTAAAAAATACACGATTAAGGAGCATTTAAATAATAGATAAAGAAAAAGGTAAATAACCATATATACCTGTAAAGTATTTCAAAACTTTTATTAATGGAAGTAGAGGAAACTAACAGTTTTTCCTAATATAACTTGTTCAATGAAGCTAGTAAAATATATACAAATTAATATACTGCAGATTTATTGTGATTACTTAAAATATAAAATTTTAACAAATAATTTCGCTTCACTTAAAAATCATTAACTTTTCATCATAAGATATTAATGAGTAGCCTATCTTCAATAATAATTATGTTAAGCAAATTGAATAAAAAAAATTTAATTTATCTGAGTCTTTCCCCAATTAGTAGATTTCTAAAAAGTTCGTAAGTCGTAATCTATATTAATCTATATTACGTAGTCGTAATCTATGACTTACGCAATATAGATTACGTAAGTCGTAATCTATAAAAATAAAGCAGAATGCTTATATGTATGTTTGTACCGTATGCAAATCCACAATTATAAACCGATTCGCTCCAAATGAGTACACAGGTTCCAAATTCGGTTCCAACCTAGGTGAACCAAACTGCACCACCGACTTCTGATTCACGCGCTGCATCCCAAGCAATGAGTTTTCCGTAATATGTGATGATTATTTTATAATAAGATGATCTGAGAGTGCAGCTAAAAAGAATCAAAAGTTTGTTTTATCCTAAGTTCTAATGAATTATTTATCTTTGGTTTTAGTTTTTAGGTTTTCACAAGTACTAATGTTAATAATTTTACGATGTCTGTTGACCGAATTCGTATTTTGAAAGATTTATAAGATTATGCGTTATTATATTGATTCATAAAATTATGCGTTTTTATTATTCTAAAGTGTGTCAACAAACTTAAATAATGGAAATTCAACAAGAACTAATAAAATAAATGTAAAATTAATAATAATATAAATGTAATGTTAAGCCATTGAGAAATTTTGGTAAATTCTGAATATCACATTTTGAATGTTACTATACCTATATTTAATATTTCTTTCAATGAGTTGATGTTCTAACAAAAATTATGGTAAATCTAATATTACAAAACAGCACCGGAATATAAAATTAAGAATGGAAAATAATTAAGGCTGTATATTAGATGCCATGAATGTGTAGGAAGGTGATATTAGAGCACTTATCCATTTCGGAGAGCTGTAAAAAGTCTATTACCAGAGTACCTACTTTATGCACCTTGGTACAATAGGTTCTCTTAAATGACAATACCAGAAGTACCACATTTAATTAAGAATTACTGGCGTCAATAGTTTGACGATTTTAATCACATTCGAAAAAGTACTGATATTATTTCGTTGGCTAAAAATGATTATAAAAATATTAGTGTCATAAAGAATTATTTTTGAGAATTGCATTAAATTAATGTTGGTAATGGGCACAGATTGAAATAAAAATTTCTTTTTGTATTAAAATGCTGAATTAATGGACAAAGGGTTAAAATATTATCTGGAAATCCGTAGTAAAAACGCGAACAACAACACTTTGTAAATAGCTGATGGAATCTCATATCACTTCTTAATGGAGTCCCTTAAAAAGTGATTATTTAGAAGTGATTCGCAAACCGTAATAGCATGTAATAAAAAAAATATCGCAACTTCAAAAAATTTGTTGTGGAAATCCGAAAAAGTGATGGAATTGTTATGAATCGTGTATTAAAAAGTAATTTGTCAAAGTTGAGTAATTACTTAATTTGATATTTGTAAACTGTATTATCAACATTAAAAATATCAAAATTATTAAAAAAAAAACAGTAAAAATTCCTAGGAAAAATTGCCAGAAAAACGATTGAAATTTGACGTGAATTAATGCACCCAAATCGCAGGTTTTTTAACATTAAGCCTGTAACACGATCACCACTTTTTGCGACTAGGTTTTGATGTTTTGGTTGTCATTTTTTATGTAATGGTTGCCCGTCGGCGACCGCTAATCTTGGGCTACAAAAGAAACGATGAGCCAAATTTCTTTACAAGTTTCTTTAAGAATTTCGTGAATAGCTTGACTTATATTGTGTATTTCTCTCTCTCTTTTTAATATTTTTGTGCTTGCATTTAATTAACGAAAATTTTCTAACGGGAATGTAACAGCTTAACGAGACTTTAATATAGATTTAATTTAAAATAATAATAAATAAATTTTTCAATTTTTTTCGAGCATGTTTCTGTTCAAATTACCCCCGCTGAGGAAATATTTCCAAAAAACTTTACTTTAGAGGTAAATTTTCAATAAAAAAACATCTGATGACAAAATTTACTCTGGTTATAGTGGTTACTTTCAGCATCCTGTTTTTAAAATTTTATCGACAGAGACAATGAGAACGTGTTTAAACATCATTTATAAATTTTTTTAAGTTCAGAACCAAGTTAAATCCTCCTCTCTCTAACTGGTAGAGAAGTACACTAAATTTTTACTAAAACTGTAAAGTTAGATAAAGTAACCTCAGTATATGGGTATTAAACATAAGCATTTAACTTCCAATTATAATAAAATGATTATAATACTGCCGATGAAACATTTTCTTTACTTTTCCAGCAATACTTGCACATCTTGGTTGGCTTCCTTCTTCTTGTGGTTACATCTGTTGGGAGTTGGAACTCCGGAGGCGGTGGAGGAGGAGGAGGATGGAGCGATGGAGGTGGAACGAAAGGTGACACAGGAGGTGGTATCACCGTTCTAGCCATACCTTTGACATTAACAGCTACAACAGGTGGAGGAGGTGGAGGAGGCAAAGGAAAAGGCGGTGGAGGGGGAGGTGGTTGGCCTTCAGGTGGAGGTGGGGGAAAGGGAGGAGGGGGAGGAGGATGGCCCTCAGGTGGAGGTGGTGGAAAGGGAGGAGGGGGAGGAGGATGGCCCTCAGGTGGAGGAGGAGGAGGTGGTTGGTCAACTGGAGGTGGAGGTGGTAAAGGGGGAGGAGGCAAGGGTGGCAATGGTGGTGGGGGAGCAGTGACTCTCCTAACTTTCACAATACCAGCTGTTGCAACAAATGGTGGAGGTGGAGGTAAAGGTGGTGGAAAAGGAGGAGGAGGGGGAGGAGGATGGCCTTCAGGTGGCGGTGGAGGAGGTAAAGGGGGAGGAGGATGGCCTAGTGGAGGAGGTGGTAAAGGTGGTGGAGGAGGTGGATGGTCAACTGGAGGTGGAGGAGGTGGATGGCCAACTGGTGGAGGTGGAGGAGGTGGTTGGCCAAGTGGTGGAGGTGGTGGAGGATGGGATGATGAAAGCGGAGTAGAAGACTGGTGGTGAGGTATAATATTTTAAATTATTACATTGTATATGCATGATAATTATGTATATGTTTGCTCAAAGTATATAAGGTTTTAAAATTGAAAGTAAATAATTTGCTTTTGATCAATGTAACCATTAATTAATAAAATTAATTTGCAGTCAAAGGAGAGTTTTTTGTTACCGTTAAGAACAAGACTCACAAGAAACTTACAGGAAGTGTCGTAGATGAAATCACAATCGCAAATGTAAATCAAAGAAGAAAAAAAAAAGCATTTAGTCTATTTTTAAGTGGTTTTAAAGTGTCCAGCTTCACGATAATTATTTTTGAGTTAAAATAAACAATTATCTGCAAATTATTATCGGTGCATTTTCGTAATTATTTTCTACTTTAATATTTAAGATTGAATTTAGGTACAAATACCAAGAAATTATAAAGAAACTTAGCGTTTCGAATATTATTCAGTATACTTTTTGCTAAGTATACTGAGTATACTAAGTTTACTTGCTTCAGTTAAAAAAAAGAAACTGACTTAATAACAATGATAGGTATATTGAAATACAAAATTTCTGTTGATTACAAGTTTTAAGTATCTCAAAAAGATTCTGCGAACTGCATTTTCCAACGCCTGTATAGCAAAACTTTGTCAATTTTTTTCTCATTTTTTTGCTATAGCCTATATTTTTTTTAAAAAAATATTTTTTTATACGCAAACAAAAATACTTTTTCGAATTCTAATTCTTAATCTCAAAATATACATACTATTACAAATTCATCTCGTTTGGCCAGTTTTTTTTCTCAGAACAAAGCATGAAATTATGTATCTACAATTTTTATACTATCGTCACATGCAGCAGGGGTTTCCAACTTACATGAGGTCGGGTGCCACGATTAAAAACGCAAATCAAATGGCGGGCCACAACTTTATCAAAATTTTATGTAGGACTCCTTAATGTTTGAAGGAACATTACATATTACTGTCAGATTTTTACCAAGTTGTACAAAACAAAAGTATTGAATTACAAATCAAAATAAGAAGTAGATTTTTAAAAATATTTAATTGCATATTAAAAAATTCGGGCTACAATAACTTTCATGTGCACCCATGTATTAAACAATAAATGTGCAACAGATATCTAATTGTTAAGATATAAAACTTTAAAAAGGTTGGTATTAAAACTTACATAGTAGCACACAAAATGTTCAATGACAAAGTTGAGGTTTGTCTGCTGCAATCACCTCAGAATAGATATTTACATTTTAAATTTAAAATTTACAAATGTGTGTGTAAATATTTTCGTCCAAAATGAGTGGTTTCAAAAAGTTAAATCGGAGAATTTCTTCGAGACAATTTCTGATTGTGAATTCTTTTGTATTCACAAAATACAAAAAAATGAAATAAAAAAGAGCAACATACACAATCATTTTTGTGTATGTTGCTTTTGTGTATGTATTGAATAAATATTTTCTTGAAACTTGAGAAAATTTATTTTTTGCACCTTTGGGATGATAAATTTCACCGAAACGAAAAAATTAGTTTTTTACTTACGAGAAAAGTATTTTAAACCCATATAGATTTTTTACGAAAATTGTCCTAAAAAATGACAACTAATATATTTTAGTTCTCGGGTCACAAAAAAAGGCTTGGCGGGCCGGATGCGGCCCCTAGCAGCCAGTTGGAAACCACTGACATACAATATAAAAATATCATATTGTATACATACATTCATATGAATAAGCTTGATTTCAACATTTTATAAAAAGCAATGTCAAATTTTTTTTTTTATAGAGTATATAATATGAAGAAAAAACGGCCAACTGCATTGGTAGCAAATTTTAGCGTAAAAAGAACAAAACTGATTTCAATATTTTATGAAAAATGCTTTCAAAACTTTTTCGAAACAAATAAAAATTTATTTTTCACTATAACGTTGCATTTATGTTATATAAAACATTTAAACCAATAAAGTCAACGAGCTCTAAAATTATAACTGTCAAAACAGTGATATTTAAAAATAGCTGTTTCTTTCCAAACTGTGCACCTTTATGTTTGTAGTCAAGCAAATGTCTGTTTTTACATAAATTGTTTTTTTTTTTAAATTTGAATTAAGCTTTAGTAACTGAAAAGATATTGTTATTTCAATTTTTTAGAAACTATTACTGAAAAAAACATTTTAAATTTACAGAAATAAATTTACTATTCACTTATATTTAACATTACGCTTATTTTACCTAAAATTTAATAAAAGCTTTTGAGAATATCTGAATCTTTTAAATACTAGTACGTTTCATTTTTAAGTTGAGCGTTATTTGAATGTTAATAAAAGTATTTCTAATCACCATCCCAACATACTGTAAAATGTTTCGAGAAAATGTGTAAAATATTTTGAGAACTACACATCGTATCTAAATTCTAAAAACGCACGTGTGGCACCCCACCATATCTCCTGAAACTCATGTGATTACAGAGATTTGGCGAAATTTGGTTTCAGTTGATAGTTTTTAAAAAAATACCAAACAAGTTTAAATGTACTTCATTTGATTCTAAAAAGTAAGGAACGAAAAATTGACTTTGCTTTGAGCGCTCTAAACATTGGGCCCATTTTCAATACTCATTATGCTGCTGATAAAAACAAAAAAGAAACGCAACGTTGCCAACAAAAATGGAAAAGAAATTGAGGTTAATAATGAAATAAGAAGAACCGTGGTAGCCGAGTGGAAATAGGGTAGCTGAATAAATCAAATCTTATTTTATTTTTACACTTTGACCGATATCTCTGAAGATATCTCCAATTTATACACGTTATACCCCATTTAAATTTTTGCTGATTGATTACTGACAGGTAAATGATTACTGAGTTAATCAGGAAGCAAATTACTAAAACCTGCATTCCAAATCGGGGCACTTTTTTATGGCAAACTAAAATTTGCAATAAAAAATCAGGTTTTTTGTTTAAGAATTTGAAGTTGACTTCCGAATTTGGTGTTAAGTTTGATTTCATCGAAATCAAAGTATTCATTTCTTTCTTTTACTTTAATGGATTTTTTTATGGTGCGGAATACTTTAGAAAATATTTCACGCATACATTTGTATTTATTTCTAGAAATTTTTTTATTCGATGCGTATTTCACAAAACGCTTGACCATTCCCATACTTTTTTGGATAACAAGTTCATAATTATCAAAAATATTAATATTATTAACTTAAAAATATATATCTATTTTACAGATCACAGTACCCTTGAAGATTTGCAGCACGAAGTCCTCGATATCCTATGCTTAGAGAACTCACCTTATGGAAATCTGTGCCCAGAAGAATTCAAAAAGAAATAAATGGGTATTGAATCCACGGCCTCCGGCTGGAACGGAGTTTTTATAGCTGATTTTTCAATTTTGCGAAAAAAAATATATAAAGTTAATTATGTCTTAGCTCGCAGTGCTTCTGCTAATAGCGTGCATCGATATAGAATGTGAAACACTGTCTGTACTTAATATTTTTGTAATAAAAAGAGCTTTATCGATAATTTACATCAAGTTTATTGTGTTTTTTTTTAAGGGGGTAGGGAACTTTTTAAGTCTTGAAACCTTTCTTAAGTCTTTAATTAATAATAAGAATTGAATTGATGAAACGATAGTGTCACTCTAATTCTAAAAATTGTAAAAAATACTTTGCAGCTTTTGTCTTTGTTTAGACAATACTTACAATTGTAACATTCAGTGTCTACTACACTGCTTGAATTTTCATTCTAAAACTACAGTAAGAAACCCGGCGGCAGTCTGCAGATCCAATTAACTGCAAAGTTTACTGTAATTTTTTTTTACCTTTACGGTTTTGAAATCGTTTACAACTTGTATGGTTTAAAAGCCATAAATACAAAACTATAATTTTTAACCATTTACAACTAGCATGGTTTCAAAATAGTAAAAAAATTTAACTGAAAATTGTAGCTAGACTTTTATTTAGGTAATGGGCATTGGAGTTGAGTTATGTTTCATTAACTCAACTTACCGTGGAAAATGGATGAATTAGTTTATCTTGTTGAAATAGTTTGTCAGGTATTGTTAGAGATGAAAAATGCTAGACTTTTTGTGTTAAGCAGCTTTATAGTGCTTCCATTTATGCGCGAATAAGAGTATCGTACTCTAATAGATCAAGGTCTCAAATTGGGGAGTGCAGTACACAGGAAACTCTTCATGTGTTGAAGAAAATATTTTAGTATCAACGCAGTGACTCGAACCGCCGTTCTATAGGTCATGAAATTGAAAGATTAGCCTTCTCGGCTATAATATGTACCCAGCTGCGAGGAGCTAAGTGGCCTCATTAAGTGGGCCTAGCTGGTGGGATAAAATTCTGGTTGTTTAACCGTATAAGAGGAAAACAATTAATAAACGGTTTTCTCAAAGTTAACAGTTTGAATACCATTATAATGATTTGGTCTTGTTTGAATATGATAAAATTTCTTTTATAAATGAATTGTTCTTTAACCAATTTTTTTGAGGAATTTCTAACAGTGTAGTTCAGTTTTGATAGAAATACGTTTGCCACAATTTGTAAAAGTTTAATGAATCACTGTTTTTGATCATTTTTTTTTTACTAAATGAAACTGTATTTAATGTTTTCCATTTTCAGAAAAACTTATAAATCCGAATCAAAGGGATCGCTTTTTAATCCGAAGCGAAATGAAGTGAACTTGGACTCAAGCAGAAAATATTTTTTTGAAACGAGTAAAAATTTTTAAATTTTTTTCATACTAGGTTACGTTTCACCCAAAGAAAGCACCCAATTTCAATTGAACTTAATTGCAAAGAAGGCACTTAATTTTCAAGCAAAATATAAGGCACAAATTTAGCCATGGACACAAGATAAAAAAAATTGAACTATTAAAAAATGTAAAAGTTCAGAGAAAAAATTCTTTTTAAAAATAAATTTTCAAATTATCTATTGTATCATTACATTTTGAGTCAATTTTTAGTGAAAGTAATCTTTCAGTATTCAGCCATTTTTAGAAAAATCAAAAGAATTTGTACTTATTTTATTAATAATTAATTGTTACATTCCAAATTTAGTTGAGTTCTGAAGGTATTTTATGATTACAACTCAGAAGCAAAGCGTAAGATACCAGTTTAGTAGTGGATATGGATAGATTAAATATGTATCCACTCAAAAGTAATGTTCCACGAGGCAGACGATTTTAATAAGTTTGTAAGTGTTCATTGTTGTGCAGTATTTTAGAACACCTCTCAAATCACTTAAACAACAAATTTTGATTCTTCTCATATTTTTTGGGAGACTCAATTTGAATTTGTAGTAAGGAATATACACCGAAGAGCCATTACATTATGACCATCCTGCTAATAACATGTAGGACCACCTTTAGCACTCAAAACTGCTAGCACCCGCCTTGGCATTGATTCCACAAGGTGCTGATAGGTAGTCTGAGGTATCTGGTACCAAGCGCTCACCAACTGGTCCTGCAATTCCCTCACATTGCGAGGGGGTAGCATGGCACCATGAATTTGGTTTTCCAAGTAGGATCACAAATGCTCTATTGGATTAAGGTCAGGTGAATTTGGGGGCCAAGACATGACTTGAAAGTCACTGGAATGTTCCTCGAAACAATCCATGACGATTCGACCCTTATGACAGGGTGCATTATCCTGTTGGTAAACACCATCCCCCGGGGAAAAAACTGTTTCCATGAAAGGGTGAACCTGGTCTGCAACTATGTTCAAGTAGCCTACAGACGTCAGAGATTGTTCCATGAGGATTATGGGTCCTAATGTGCCCCATGAAAACATTGTTCCTGGGCGAGAAACCATGAAAACCTGGGCGAGCCCATTGTTATAGATGGAGGGCGGTCATAATGTAATGGCTCTTCGGTGTATGTTAGCATATAAATCTAGTTTTGATTTTAATTACGCAAAATAATAGTTACAGGTAAAAATCTAATTCACCTTAGAGAGGCTTTTGAAATGAAAGAAAAAACTATTAAATATTTTCAATTCATTGGATAATTTCGATTTTCGGAACTCATAAAACATCATAAAATAGTGCGAAAAATTCCCTTTTTTTACAGATTTTTTCCGTATATTTGACGGTTTAAAGCTGTTTTTCACAAAACAGTTTTTCTCTGTTTGCAGTCTAATCATAAGAGGCTTAAAACTATCAATTCAAATTCTAGTTTTTGTCATACAGTTTTGCTTACCGTAAGATAACTTAATCTTTCTTTTTTCAATTTATCTTATGATTATTTTACATACTTGATTTTACTTTTCAGATATTACTTTATGGTTTTTAACATTGTATAATTGAAATTGTGATTCGACTACATTGTCGAATTGATATTCTCTACCAGATTAGTTTCTATCTTTAGCTATAATTTTTCGTTAAAGTTAAATAACCAGACCTCTATATAAGAGTAAGCAATACAGTATCAAACGTTTTTATCCTTTAATATGATTTCAAAAATAAGACTTTTGAGATAAATATAGCTTTAGATATTTTTTCATAATAAAACAATAGAGCTGCAGTTGCTCAGGGGACAGAGCGCTCGCTTCCAAATGCTTCCCACGGGTTCGAATCTCGGCGTTGGTTGGTCATGCGAATTCGACTCTAGGCTCGCACCAACTGCTATGCTAAAGTAGTTCAATAACATAGTTTTTTTTTAGAATAACAGAAATTTTTGTTACAATAATAGAGTAGGTTTGCTAAAATAACAGTACTTTTTTGCTTAAAAATTAGCTTCCGTTTTTAAACAACAATTGCCAGCCAACCTGGCATACCAGCCAACAGCTACTTTCTGTAAATTTAACAATTTTTTAACAGTGTAAACAAGAAATTACAAGCAAATTTTTTCTATTACTTTTTCTATTACTTTTTCTATTACTGCTTCTATTACTGTTCTTATAAATTTACTTATAAAAATAAAAGTTTCAAACTTTAAGAATATAAAATCTTAAAAAAATGGAACGCAATTGAAACAATCCATTTCTTAATTAATTATTCTTATTAAGAGTATAGCTGATTTCTTCTCCTCCAAATCAGTATTCTATTCACTAATTCGGAACCAATAAGCAAACTGTTTTTGACCGTTAGTAGTGACCATCAGAAATTTCCCCAAGGAAACTACCAATTAAGATAAAACTCTGATCACCAAAAAAATCGATACCTTCTTTCTCCATATTCTACGTTTTTAAGTACAGATAGAGCTTCGAAAATAACTCAGCAGAAATTTAATGGCTCCGTCTGGCGTCTTGGTTTTCTTTCAAGATTGTAAATACTTAAAAAACAATACTGAAGGACGTCAAATTATAAAATTGTTTCAATAAGCAATTTTCTCAACAGTGATAAAACAAAATTATTCTTTACACTTACATTTTATGTATACTAAAGATGAACTTAAATTTTTATTTTATGTAAATTACAAACGATTTAACAAAGATTTATATTATTTACAAACTATTGATTGCTGATGATTTGTACAACTTAAAATAAAAAGTTGATTAGTAAATTAATTAATTTTCAAATGTTGACAACGCTTACAAACTTCGAATTAGTGATAGTTCGCACAACGTTCTGGGTGTTTTATAAGGGTGGCTTTTAATATGTAATTTTAGAATCTTTGTCAAAAATGAAAATAAACAGTATACACATTTGGGGTTCAAATTTATATTTAAGAGAGGAAAAACTAAAAGTGCATCAAAATCTGTTTAATAACTGAACTAGTAAAAAAGGAGTGAAACAATTCAAAATCCATTTCATTGCTTGATAATAGTGATTACGTGATTGCTTTTATTTTCAGAAGACGCTGATCACTTCGTTGACCATTGAAACTTGGGGTTTCGAGTAATCACCTTTAACTTGACTTTAAACTTGTCCCTGTTTCCTCCGGTAAAATATATTTTAAATAAGAATTTTGTAACTTTAAAATTGAATCGTATTTTCAGTTTTCGACTAGAACTCCGAAGCGAAAAATACCCTTTTACAAAACGATTCCAGAAAACAAATGATGTTGATAAAAGACAAATTTTGAGGTTCAAACATGTCAAACTAACTTAAAAAGAGTCTTCAGTTAGCACTCAAATTAGATTTTGACTCAAAATTTAAGATATTGGCTTTTTTCAGCAACAAAGTTTCAGCTAAACTTCAAAGTGAACGGCACCTTCTTGATGTTGGTTTTACAATTCAAATTATCAAAGTAAATTTCGAAAATGACCTTCACTGCATCAAAATTAACGGGACATTTTCACTTAAAATTTGAAGTTTCTGCTGCCAGTATCAGACAAATTTATATCGTAACTCCAAAGACTCCTTAGACTATTATGACTCCTTTAAAAACATGACTCTTGTTGAAAATATTAATGCTAAAAAAAGGTTAGTTTTGCGATGAAAATTTACGAAAGTAATTTCTAAAGTGTCCTTCTTTGTGGCAAAATGGACTGTTTCACGCAAAACTTGAAATCTCGTCTGCCACACACAAAATTACATCTCAATTCCAAAGTTAGTAGAAAATAGATGATCCTTGTCA